ATCATCTGATCGGGCGGCACATTAGTAAATGGATTTTCCTGATAAGTGGGCTCCTGATCGGTGGCCCCGGCGTAGGCCGAGTATCCGGCGCCGGGAACTATGTCCTCGTTCTCGTATCCGGTGGCAAATTGACTCATATCGGTGCCGGTGTTCCAGCGTATGTGCGCGAAGTAGGCACAGCCCGCCTGTCAGACCAATCATTGTCATACATAGATAGCACAGGGAGTGAGATATTAAACATTAATAATTAATTGGCACTCAAAGAGTCAATGAATGTTAAGGGGAGAGGGAATGGGGAGAGAGTGAGGGTGTGGTGGGAACTGACCCACGAAGCGATCGAGAAGAATGAGAAAGCGATGGCAGCTCTGCAGCTATTAATCCCATTGCCGAAGGGAGGCTTCTCTGAGTTGGCCCAAGCGATGCCCAGATATGCGAAACATATTAAGTAAAGCACTGCCCAAAGTCCTGACAATCAAATACATAAATAACATATTAATATTTTATGAAAAATTATCTTAAAATCCTTTTAAATCAAAACCAAAGTTTTTGTTAAGCGTTTTAACTATAATATTGAGAAACAATATTCACCAGAGAAACCCAAATCGAAAGCGACGACTCGGCGCCGGATTTTAATGCTCGACAGGTTTTGAAAGACGCCCTCAAGTATGAGGAATGCAATCGCTGCCAAAAAGCCGATGAGTCCGAGACCGGAGCCCAACCGACACGCGTTGTTATCCTTGTTATACAAACAAACTTCTAATCCCTGTTTAGAGCCCTCTTTAGGCACCCATCCATTCGCTGATATACACCCGAACACAATCACTGAACACAACTGTTCAATACATATACAATACAATTAAATCAATGGTAATTTAAGTAAAACTTATCATATAGTAATTAATGGTTNCTTGTTATACAAACAAACTTCTAATCCCTGTTTAGAGCCCTCTTTAGGCACCCATCCATTCGCTGATATACACCCGAACACAATCACTGAACACAACTGTTCAATACATATACAATACAATTAAATCAATGGTAATTTAAGTACAACTTATCATATAGTAATTAATGGTTAAAATTGTCAATTGTAATTTTAAAACATACTTTAATTAATAAAATTAATATTAAAATAAAATACTGTGAAAACATAAAAAATAATTAAAAAATGAAATATTCCCCCGAAATGCTACTCAAGTGTATGACATTCACTGGAAATTATATTGAAAGGTGTTTTTAATGTTCTGGTAATTCACACAAATGTTTAAGCATAATATTTTCTGTGCATTTCTATGCAATTAAATAAAACAGATTTTCGTGATTAAAATTATTAAATTAAAATATATCACAATTTGTATGTTTAAATTAAATCAATATTAATAGTGGAGTGGGAGTGGAGACTAACCCAACATATAAATCGAAGTATAACTTGTGGTCGCATAACATAACCGATCGGATCGAAAGCCGAGCCTAAAGTAATCAATAAATATCATTATAATTAATTAATAATTAATATAAATAATTAAAATTTAGGATAAAAACACATATCAAAGAGATAGGGATGGGATGTAATGCATACCCGCTTTCGCCGCTCCAAACGCTGCGTTCATGTTATTCATGGCTGGGAATGAATGGTTAGGTATGAATGTGTAATCACGGGCTAAAAATTTTCAAATTCAACCGCAGATTAATTGGCAATTAATTATTGATTGCAATCGATGTGTGAGAAAAACAGATGAACAAGCGTTCAGAGCATTTCATCCATTGATAGGGCCAGCGATCCATCCCATAGACACGCACTGCGAATGCGTGCCTCAAGTGATTGACTGACTTTTTTGTATAACATATAAAATATTGGTGTCATTTTGTACAATGCATTTGAGCGATACTTTTAGTTTTTGACTTTATATTATTTTATTTTGCTTTTCTATTACTTTTGAGAAATTTTATATTTCATTTTTATAGTTCAAATGTGAAGCGAAAATTACAAAAACACAATTACATCAAAAATA